ACATGCAAGAAACAGGAGCAATGTACCTTGTTTTTGCTTTGATTAAAATAGCTTTAGCAAATTTTTTATTTATTTTTTTTTTTTGCACATTGCAATTTTTATTGATTTTAATCAAGATATTTAGTTAGGTAAAAAATATGGTTGATTTAATCAAAATAACTCGGGATATTTAAAACCATTTTCATCCGAGCAACGCCGAATACTCTGCTAGATTTTTATAGTTTGAATCTACTGAGGTGTAAATTTAAATGAATATGTTATAAAAATTCTTGAAAACTAGATTATTGTATGTATATATATATATATATATATATATTTATTTATTTATTTATAAGTTCTACACCATACTGATCTGAATTGTATTTTCTCTCTGAGCAGAAATGGTAGAAGCTATGAAGAAAGTGGCATCCCTTGACAATGAACTTACTGTAGAGGAGAGGAACCTACTCTCTGTTGCCTACAAGAATGTTATTGGAGCAAGGCGAGCTTCTTGGAGGATAATTAGTAGTATTGAGCAGAAGGAAGAGAACAAAGGCAATGAAGGAAAACTTGAAATGATTCGTCAGTATCGTATAAAGGTAAAGTGTTTAGCATTATCTGTTATTGTTCTAAAAATGTAATGTTTTTATGTATGCCCATTAATTCATGAGTACGTTATAGGTTTTAAACTGCTTACTTTTCAATTTCTCATGAAAGAAACTACCCTTCACAAACCCTGAAGAGGATATTCATTATGTTTGTTCAAATCTTCACACTTAAGTTTGTGTAAGCCTGTAAACAAATTATCATGAAATTTAAAGTGCTCCTTTTTTGTATAGATAAACAAGGAATAATTTATCTGGTATCCATTTGCTCTTTGTTGCAATTCAATAGTACTTTTGCAGAGTAGAAATTGAGATGCAATTATTACAATGCTGAACTTGCTAACATACTACCTTATCAAAAATTGGAAGTGCTTTCAATAAAATTCCCCAAAAGGCATTTTAAAGATTTAAAATTCCTTTTCTATTATGTTTGCTGTGATTAATATTAACCTGGCTGGTTGCTAGGCTTTTACCCCTGATGTTTCAATTACATGTGCATACTGGATCTGAGATTCTTCAAAAAATCTGTTCAGTTTGGTGATAATATACACGTGTCTAGAACCTGACATAACTCCTGTACATTAAGGCAGTCATAACCTTTTGATCTTACCAAAGTTGAAAATTATTGTAAAAATTAGTTATTATTTAAACCTATAAAAAAGAGAAAAACCAAAAGTTGAGTTTAAAAAATCTTTTAATTTGTGAGGTAGGCCTTTCATCTCATTAATGGTAATTGCACTCGTGCACTATGGAAGCTTTGTTTTAAATTGTAGAAGCTTTTAATATTGCTGAATATAAAAACATTTTTTAAGGAGTTAAGTGCAAGTTATGGCCTTTTTATTTACATTTTAAAACAAAGTTTGGTATCTATTTTGGAAGGTACTAGACTTAGGACTGCTTATAAGTGTTATGGAATTTTGTCAAATTGCTGTGTAAAGTTAATTTTGTGTGACAGTTGCTGCTATGCAAAATTTTTGAAAGAAATTATTTCATGGGTAGAAGCATGTTTTGTTAAGTAATGTTTCAGATAAAATTTACTGGTCAGAGAATTGAATTCCTACTGGCATCTTTTATAATTCGTTTTGAAATTATATAATCTCGGAGAGTTGCTAGATATTCCCTGTAAATAAATCTAAGTATTGCTAATTTCTTTAAACCAGAAGATGACAGAGGGAAAAAAATGCTTATTACATGTATGTTAAGAAATATAATAAGAATTTGGGATAACATTAACTGTTAATAATTTTATTTCATTTTACATGGTAGTAAAATATATGTACAAAAGTATGTTAATTTTATTACATAACCTTTTCTAATTAGTGCAGGTCAACTTTTTTGTAAGATTGTGAACTTAAGTTTGAAAGTGAAATAGTTGTGAATATACTTTTTCTTTTACCCTAAAGAAATCCTACAGTACAGTTTTGGATGTATGTAATATATATATTATGGTGGTTCTTATTTTTGAAGTTTTGATTTACATTACTCTCACTCCCCTAACTTTGTTCAAATGTATAAGTAATTTATGCCAAATTTTATCCATATTGAATAATTTTTGGGGTTGCACAAGGTAGTTGAAATTTTACTTTGTAGTTAGCATTATATTTGTTTATTCTGGAATATTCTAGAGTATTCCACATTATTTACTTTTTACTTCTGGGAAAGAACAAGTGTATTGTTTTCTAATGATCCTGTAAGAAGCAGGAGTAAATCAACTCTTAGGTGTTCCAAAGTTTATTTCTAGCACTGGAGACACTCGAGATCCTGTTGTGGCACATTTGCTGAAAGAGTGGGGAGTCATTGATCGAGTAAACACAGTTTGCTTTGACACAACAGCAAGCAGTACTGTCACAGAAATGGAGCATGTGTGCTGTTAGAACAAAGATTAAACAAGAATCTTCTATGTATTTAGCATGCTGGCATCATATCTTAAAACTTGTCCTGGCATGTGTTTTCAAAGACTGTATGAGGCTTTCTTTTGATCAATATAGTGCAATTTTTCAACTGATTCCATCAATCTTGGAAATACATGGACCAGTCAAGTTATGAAACTGCAGCTGACCATGATGAAGTAACAGAAGCAATAGAGGAATCTAAGGATAGTGTCATTAAGTTTACTGTAAGACAATTTCAGGTCAGCCAACCCAGAGATGATTATAAAGAGGTTCATGAACTGGCCATGACCTTCCTTGGTGGCATCCATCCTTGTGGAGTGTGATTTATAGCACCTGAAGCACTGCATCATGCACGATGGATGGCCAAGGCATTATATATGCCCTTGAGATCTGGATGTTTACGGGACAGTTTAAGTTCACTGGCAGTGAGGAAAGAGGACTCTCTGACATCTGCATCTTTGTTGTTCAAGGGCATGGATCACTGCTCCTGATGCCATTTATTCCCCTCACAGTAATCTTAACTTCCTACTGTGTTGTTAAGTATAAGAAGGTGAATTCTGCCTTTTTAAAATTTGCTCAATGTGTATGGTATCTCGATGAGAATATATTGGTTTTTAATTCAGCTGTGTTCATAGAGACATAATGAGCAATGGTAAAGACACTGAATGAGAAGGAAGGCATGGATTAGCCTCCAAAATGCATCCAGCGGAATATCAGGAAGTCTGAGGACATACCAATTGAAGATTTTATCACAAAGAACACAACAGGCTCCTTTGGGTGCCTTGAAATTCCATCTGGGTTTCTGTATTATGACCCCCATGTTATGGGAGCTCAGAGAGGACTACAGGGAGGCATTAAAAATAGTTCAGTAATGTAATTAAAGGAAGTACACAGTTGGATATACAAAACTGTTCAGTTTAAGAGTTATTATTTAGTTTATTTAGTGATTTAATATGTTATGATTATTTAGTTTTCATAACAAGAGTGTTAAAAGTTAGTTATTTTAAAAGTGATAGTTATGACAAGTTTCATTATGTAACTCTACAAATCGTATGTTGTGTATGCAGTTTAATTGTTGTATTAGGCTTTTGTAATATTGTTGATGTCATCTACGAAGCTTCTAAGTCTTTCTTGTTACATTTAATATTTTGTTACTAGAGGGCTAGTTATTTATAGATTTTTCTGTAGTATGTTATAAATATGTGCAGATACAAAGAGGAAGTAAGTAAGTTAGTGAAAAGAAGTTAAATAAGTTAGTTAAAGTAAAAGTGACATTAGGCTGCGTGGGAGTTTAGCTGTAATGGGCAATATCTAAAGTGAGTTTCACAGTTTGTATTATAATAACAGAGATATAGGAGAATAATTTGTCTTGTCAAAGGGTGTTCAAAAGTAATTGAACCAGCCTGTGTGGACTTTGATGAAAAGGAAACAATTATTTAAAGTTATGGATATAACTGTGGTAACCAGCAGTTGTAGTGATGAATTTGAAATGCTTCACATCTTGTTTGTAACAACAGAGATAGAGAGAATAATCTTTCTTGTCAGTTGGTTTCTAAAAACCAGTCTTTGTGGACTTTTGACATAAAAGAGAATTATTTAAAGCTCTGGATACAGCTGTGATAACCCATAGGGTAACGTAAGTGAATTTATCACTGATTGTATTGTGATAACAGAGATAGATAAGAATAACTCATTTTGTCAGTTGGGTTTAAAGTAACTGAACCAGCGTATGTGGGCTTTTGACTTGTAATAGAATTATTGAAAGCTCTGGATACAACTGTTGTAACCAATAGTGTAATAGATTTTTTTGTACATACGTTTGTTTTGAATATGTTATCTTAAAACAAGTGGATTGTGTTCTGTCCATTTATTGTTGAAATTTATCTCCAAGTCACAGATACCTACTGTAAATAATCGTGCCCCCATAATTAACCTGACATACCCTGTTATGTAAAATGTAAAATTCTGTATATCTGATAATAAACAAGTTTTAAGATAGTTCAACACTTGAATGTGGTAAATGACATTGCTGGAAGGGGTGTGTTCCATATTGAGGAGTATAATGCCATCATAACAAAGAAAGAAGAACATAAACAGCTTCTCCTTCAGGTTATGCAGGATCATAGAAGCAGCTTTTCTAACAGCAAAAAAGAAACATAAACAATGTGAAAGTGACTGATCACACCAAAATCACATAATAATGTAATTATATTGTTGTACATGCAATAAAATAACAATGTAGTGTAAATAAATCATTTATAATACATAAGAAATATGATTTTGTATCGCATAGTACGTACAGTACCAGGCCACTGCAGTCTAGAACTTCAATCTCTTTGAGTAACTTTTAAATGTGATCCAAAATGGACGAAATCTGACATTTAATATTATTATTATTTATTTATTTTTTATTTATTATTATTTTTTTTGTACATTGGAACAAACAAAATTAGGGAGTAAAAAGCCTTAGAATATATATATATATATATATATATATATGTATGTATGTGTGTGTGTGTGTGTGTGTGTGTGTGCGTATAACTGGGAAGGACAAGAAGAATG